TTATTAAACACTCCCTCTGCTGCGCTTCGCTCGTGTCAAATAAGTTCCTCAGTCAAATGCCGTTTACTTTTTGCATAATATACTATTATATGAAACTTTGCTTGCCAAAATTGTTAGTAAAAAACTGCGGAGCCATTTTCTGAGCCAAAACGCGGATTCAGCTCGCATAAAAAACCTAAAGTAACCTAAAAAGTTCCCTCAGGTTCCCCGGTAAAAGGACTTTTATTACAAAATACTAAATCGGTGAACCCGATTAACCTTATATTGTACATAAAATCAAAATTAGCCGTTTTATGTTGCTGCACGAAGTAGCTACTTGTTGGTTATTAAACTAAACAATAAATAACCGGTCGACAGTGAAAGTAAGGCGGCTGATTTACGACGAATTATATTTTTGTAATTAAACCTACGGCCGTTTAGATTAGGAAATGCCGCGGAATTAAATAATTGTGATACGTATGTAGTGGATATTGCCGTTGACTGGGTGCGCTTGGAGCGTTTCTTCTTTGTTCCCATAAATCAAGGAAATAAAATCCCCGACGTAAAACGTTGATGAATAGATTGCATCCGTATACATTCTTTATTATAACACATATATAAAAAGCTTCATTATTTTCCTTGGAGTACGGTACTTCGCGCGGCCGATCCCAGGATGCAATAAACTCCGGTAGCCGGGTAGCTCGTTACTCATTAGTTTGAATTTATTAGAAAGAAATTTTCCGCAATTATAAAAATCACGGGACCGCTATTTCGATTTTTTTTCGTACTCCACGAGCGGTCTCTTTATGCCTTCGTTATAATTCTTCGCCGAGTTACTTTGTTGCTGACTTGTAGTTTATACTTGCGCAATTAATTCTTATAAACTAATAATAATGTTAATTAAGAGGCACTTAGCGTTTTCCGCGAGTTCTTCGTTCTTCTTCGCGAATAAATGTGGCGTGCCAGCATTTGGTTAAATAAAGTGGGTGAGGAATTTAGTTGAGAGAGAAGCAAAGACAGATGCAGCAAGCAAAAATGTAATTTTGCTTTATTTAGCACGTAGATAAACTTAATGGAGAAGAAACATAACAATATGTAAGTAGTAAATGCGGATTAAATCGGGATGTTTTTTTTTTAATTTTTGCCTTAATTGTTAAAGCCATATAAATTCCTGATATTTTGTTTTAGATTTACTTTAATATATTTAATTTTTTTATTAGATCTTTTTTTAATGAAGATTTTTTTAAACTTAACAAAACTTTCAGCTTAAACTAAAAAATAGCAATGAAAACGAATGTGAATAAAAAACCTTTTTATTTATTTTTTTATCTATTTTAGAGGGTAACAAGCGCGAACACATGATACTTTGGGGGCAATATTGACACATCTTTCCATCCATAAATTTCATAAACAACTTCTTTATTCAATGAAAATCAATGGAAATTTTTTTGTCTGTTTCTTATTTTTTATTTCTTGGCTCAAAAATTTAATTATGTATTCCGGGTATTTCTATAGGTTCAGGCTTAACCGTTATGCAAATACTTAAGATTAATTATTAATACAATCATATAGCTATAACATTGATGTGCCTCGGGAGGCTATGATTTTGATAAAAATGAGAATTGTCTTCCGCGCATGACTCCAAATTTCATCCACGAATCTGCACTTTGTCCACATCCATCCATCACTCTCTCTCAGAAGTTCCTGTATCATCAGCATTAAGTAGGGTCTCTACATATCTAGTAGCTGTATGAATGCAATAGATAGTCCTAGCAAGAAGAATAATAACACTTTAATTATTATTATCAACATTTCTAAATTACACACCAACAGTTTTACAGTCTAATCAATTGAGCATTAACTAATTTAAATATTATGTTGGTTACTTAATTTCTATAGAAAATCCCATGTGGTACAAAAATAAAATTTTGAAGCGATTGGAGAACGAAAATATTAATGTGGTTTTGGAAATCAAGAGCAAAGAAAAAGTTTAAGAAACCTCATGGAGTTCTATTTCTAAATTTTGTTCAAAAATTATTAATTTAATTTAACATGATGCCTAAAATAATCGATTAATTCATTGGATTTATAATAAAAATGTATTAGGATCAATAGCAATAAAATAATTTAAAAAAATATAATAAAATATCAAAAAATCGAGATGCATATTATTTTTTCCATATCAATAGCAAAAAAGTAACTAAAGCCTTCAATCTCAGCATATCCGAGATCCTCATTCCATCCCATCTTTAAATTGGACACACCGTATACCTCCATAAAAATACAACGCGGAAATTGCTAAGGCGTGGTATCGAACATCGCTATACCTAACTGTACTATCCGTTTAATAAACAATATCTTTATTGTTTAATTGTGTCTTATTTTAATAAGATTACTGATAGGACGTTATCTGATAATGTAATCGTATCGACCTACTTTAAGACACATCTGTCCGGAAATTTATAGTATTATAATCATTTTAAAATAAGGAGAATTTTTTTAATAAATATACGATGGATTCAGTCGGATCGGCTCACTCAGGTACGAAAATGTGGGTATAAAAACGTTAGCAAATAAACGACCATCGATGCGAGAAATTATTCGAAATTTTAAAATGTCATACGAAAGAGCTTTTAAAACGTCTAATTACATTATCGATAGAATTTGCATTCCGAGCCTTATCCATTCCAACATGTTAATGATCAGGTGTATTACAAATATTTAAAGAGGTGATCGGTTCAAAAAGCCTTCAAGGTTGGAAAACGTGGGCGCGAATTATTTACACGTTTTTCCATGGATCGGGTCTTACAAACCTTGGCGTGATTTTTTTTTCTTCGAGGCGGTTCAAGATGATTCGATTATCGACGCGAGCCAGTTTTAGCGTAAAATTAAACTCAAGATAGGTAGGTACAAGTTTTAGTGTTGCTCGACAATCCCATTAAGCAAAAATTTATCCCCTCGTTCCCGAGGCTGACCGGCTCGGAAGTTAATGAATCGAGTTATTTAATTCAACAATAAAAATTTCGTTAAAAGCAACATTATCGTTATTCTTACGCAAGGTGCTCCTGCGGCAACGTTTCCATCTAAATTATCCGCTAGATTATGCTTTAGATGATTAGGTTGCTTTCGTAATTGAATGATTGTCGAAATATAGGGAGGTTGAAAAATGCCAGGAAAAGTTTAATGAGCGCTTGTCTGCGAATACCATTTGCAATTCAAAGGATCCGAGGCTTGATTGCCGAGGCCTAATTAGCCAAGCAACTATTATTTACTTACAGAATAAATGTCTGGTTTTTAAATTATTATTGTAAATTTTTGTTATTTCCTATTAATTTGACAATTTCCGTCGCATTAATTTAATTTATTCTTTTTTTAAACAATCTAGAGGAATCGACAGAAAAACTGGACCGAGAAAAAAAAAATTATACAAAGTCAAAAGCAAAGCTTAACTAAAATTTCCTATCAGTTGAGCAAACTTTACGGGGATTTTATTGATATTTTGGAGACAAAAAATACAACAAAATATATTTTTGCTAATTTAAATCAAATGCATTGATTGTCTGATTAAGAAAAAAGCACCGCAAGATATTTGGTGGGTATAGTTTATCTTAAAATATGTCATGTGGACTTTTGCCTGTGTTTGTGGAAGTAGGTTGGCGACGCCAATAAAACTTTTTTTTAACAATATATGGAATACATAATTACAAGAAGAAAAGACAATGGCATTATACAAAGTTTTAATAAATTAATAACTGTATCATCTATAGATAATAACTTTTTTATTTCAAATATTTAAAGCTATTTCTTTACAATAGGATTTGTATAAGAGTCCTCCGTTTTTAATATGTGCTGTACTGGGACGCTACATGCTCTGACAAATCACTACTAATATCTCTTGTCGACGATATTTGCTTTTGTAAATAGACAGGCTTATTTTCCTCTACTGAAAGTTTCATTTTCATACACAGTTTGCATCTAATGTCAAATGATTTCGATGCAATGTTATCTTCTCGTAAAACAAGTTTTGGCTATTCATCACTAACACTAACATTTTATATTAATATATCTAATGGCCAACACTCAAAAAAATACCTGGTCCATCCCTGCCTTGTCACTTATTATTCAATAAGTTTGATAAACGCCACTTTAGTCACGAGTTTGATTTGGCACTAGCAAAGCTCTGACGCGTGAGGGAAGAAGTTTATGAATGTGTTGCAGACTATACTTTACATAAAACGATTAGTTTTTGGGTACATATTTTTGCAAAGTAGCACGTATACATTCACTAAAAGACAAACTAAAAAGTTTAATTGATGGGTTGACACAATAACAATGCTTGACAGAATCGTTAAAGGTTGGTATTCATTAAAAGGTAACACGATATATTTTGAGATACACTATAGCTAAATTAAACATCTGGTTCGAGACCTATGATATTTCGGCACTGTTTTTCAAAAAAAAAAAAACTAGCGGAAAGTAAATTAGCGCATTCCGTAATTTCAATCTAAAATAAATCGATAGCAGTTTGTTACGATTGAGATAATGTGTTCCATCGAATTTAACTGGATTTATAAAGAAAATTGAATGTTTGTCGTCTACTCAATCAACCTGTCAACCATATTTGCAAAATTGAAAAAGATATTTGCATTCAGTTTACTCGTTATCGCTATTTTTCATCAATCAAATTATGGCAGACAGTGGCATATATTTCTTAGGAATTTAAGAAAAAAAAATCCTATTACTAGCATTGCTAAATTCTATATATGCGTTAAACGTATATTACAAAATAAAATAATTGATATTTTGCTAGTGATAATTTCACACCAAGCAACAAATAAAGCCGGCATATTCGGCGGCCAAAAGACGAACAATGAACAATATTCGCAGCACATTAAAAATGATAAAACGTCCTCCGGAGCTGCGTTAATCGTTCCATTTGTGTTTCATTAACTTTAAATTAATTAGCATTCATCGCGTGACGCTTACAAAAGCGAAATTGTAAACAAATCGCGCGGTTTCAGATCTGGCGGCGATCAGGAGGCTACTGGACACGGAGAACGCTCCAGGTACTTGCCCCAGCTGCGATATGCCGTTCGATAAGGGCAAGAAACGAAGACTGATCGACAACTGCGGCCACGAGCGATGCTACTCCTGCATGTTTACCAACGAGAGTTGCCCGTTGTGCACTCTGAACGCGTCACAAACAGGTATTATATTACTATGTCCTTTCGTATTTCGCTTCACTCGGATGTACCTGATATACGCGAAGTTTGAAACTTTGAAGCGAGCAGTTAACGTCGGTATCAAAGACCCTATTTACTTGAACTCCGATGTTGTATTTCCCTTCATCTTTGTAATGGCGTACTCCCACTCAAATCACAAGTAACCATCACTTAAGTAAACTGACGCTTTCCTTTTCTCAAACTTCCGAGTCTGTATGCGATGATTGAAGTTATATAACAAACGGAGATTGTCAGTTCCAATGACATATTCACGGCAGACCACACTGAAGGACAAATCAGAATTATCCCTTTCCGTGAAAAAAAAAAAAAAAAAAGAAACTACTCGTCCGTCTAATCTTTTAAAGATAGAATATATTTTGCAATCTTTTAAGGAAAAGAGGTTCAGCCAATGTGTATTACATAGACAAGTTAGGCAAAAATAAAGACGGCTAGTAATGGCGATGTCTTATCTAACGTTTCAATGTATTCACCTAAATAATGGTTATTTCCCGAAAAAGAGAAAATTTTAATTTTTTTGTTTTAAATCTTATCGAAAAACTAAATTAACAATTTTCGTTATTATATAGAAATATGTCAGTTACGTACCCATATTTATATATGTTATTTACAAAATACCTTGATCATATATTATTTATTTATAGAGCAAAGTATGCAGTAAGTGAAAATTCTTTACTTACCCAAAAAAATTAACTTTCTTATAAGCAATTTATGATTTTATAAAAGGTTTGCTAATTAAGACCAGTATTGAGGGATAAACGATTATCATTCACCTGATGATTCACAATGATTTCACAAAGTGGCCGTTAGTAAACCATTTACCCTCAAAAACATCCAAGCAAGTAGAAAAAGTGAGATATAATATCAAAAAATATCTTATTAAACTTACCTGAGATTAGTAGTAACGTGTATGTCGGAAAAAATAATCCCCATTAATACTCGTCTCTTTCTAAATAAAATTTGCCTCATAAAGTCGAACATTTGATTCTGATCGAGTTTAATGATCTCAGCAGCGTCGTTAACATAACCGAAAGGACAGTAAAGTATAAAACGTAACAAATTAAAAAAATTAAAAATTTAAAATAGGAAAGAAAATAAGAGCAGTATTTAAGAAATTATTGATTCTATTTATTACTATTTACAAATCTTCTGGATTCTTCCTGCGTCGGTTGTTTATAAATCCAACTGGCCGACGTTTTGCCAGTCATCCTGTTGGCTTCCTCAGAGCTTAACTGAAACTAAGATAATAATAATTATATTATTACAATAGCCTGTGAGGGTTTCTTTAAATAATTAATTCTATTTATTGTACAGAGCAAAATGTAATATTTTTGTAACCCTGACAATGACTGAAATAGCAAGCTGGGATTTTCTCCTACAAGACAAGAGACATCCAGTTTTTTTTTCATACTATATCAAAATTTATTATGGCTTTTGTGATATAGTGGCAAGGCGATTTCGTGTATGGTCTGTTCATAGATATAAGAAAGTGACCAATTGCTTTTGAATGGGATTATCCACGGGTGGTCATTAACATACAATGCAACAAGTTTATTAGCTAAAGTTTCGGAATTTAAATTCAGGTAAAATTGTGGTCCGTAATAGAAAATAGTTTTATACCTACTTAATATTTTATACCTTAATATTCTTTGGTTTGTTATACTACTTAGTTTAAGTTTATTAGTAATCATTCTTATTTCGTGTGTAATAGAGCATGTGTTGAATCATGTACGGATTATGCAAAATATGTGCGATGAAAGTGATCAAGATATAAAATTTACCAGTTATACGAACAAAGCGTGCCTACATTAGAAATTTTAATTAGGAGGCTTGAAAAAGATGAAACCGGTGTTAAATGTGGCAGAACTACCTTTTGGAAGTGTATTCAACACATGGGTTTTAGATTAAAAAAAATGACAAAAGGCAAGTTTTAATGGAATCTTTTAGAATTCGCAAATGGCGACCGGAATATCTAGAAAAAATTAGGATTTACAGAGAGCAACAAAGACCAATTATTTACTTGGATGAGACCTGGTTCGACACTTATGATACCCCGGAAAAGGGTTGGGTTGACTCAACTAATAAGTGTAAAACAAACGCGCCATCAAAAAGAGGTAAAAGAATAACTATTTTGGATGCTGGATTCCAAATGGACTTTGTCTGCGAAAAATATTAAAGATTTTTCCCTGGATTATCATGAAAACACCACTGCTGATTTATTTGAAAGTTCGTTTAAAAACAAACTAGTTCCAAACATTCCTCCTAATAGCGTCATTGTAATGGACAATGCAAGTTTTCACAGAAGACAGTTGACTAAAACCTCATGTGACACAAAAGCAACAATCCAAAACTACATGTATAATAACAACATTTATTTTCACGAAGGTTGTACCAAAAAGCAATTAAGTGAGGTTCAACAAAGCTGGAACCTACAAAAGGAATAAGTCTGTGATAATTATGCAAAAAATCTAGGACATACAGTTTTAAGGCTTCCACCTTACCACTGTATATTTAATCCCATTGAACATGTTTGGCACCAACTGAGATCTGCCATTCGTCGTAACAATGTTTTCCCCGTGTTAACTCCAATGTCCTCAAACTTATAGAAACCGAAGTTTTTAACATCAATCCACAAAGTTGGGCAAATTCTGTTAAACATATAGAAAAAGCAGAACAATCGTACAAATAATAATTAGAACAGGCGATGATAGCGATAGTGATACTGATATATTATGTGAATAATTTTAAGTAATTTAAGTAGGTAATAAGTAGGTAATAAGTAATTTTATCTTAGATTTAAATATAAATACATACATAAATAAATAAATATTGTTTAGTATCGTTCCCTAACAAAACCCCAAATAAATAAATTCTAAGCAAAGTACGGACCTGTTCGGCCATATTTCATTCTTACAGCTTGCCCGGGTCTTTCCTTAATTCGTATCAGTTAGTCACTTTCTTATATCTATGAACAGACTTTACCATCGAACTTCCTTATAATGCGAGGATTGCGTCTACGTCGACTGTTTCAATTTCCAGGCAACCAATATTGTTAACAAAATAACCATAATTCCTGTTAAATAAATTTATACTTGAAGTTTAATACTTATGTAAATATAATGGTAATATGCTAATAGATCGATTCATATTGAGATGTTGGCACTGGTTAGTGCCTTCAGATAAAACGGAATTGTTGACTTGAGTATGCAAGCCAGACGTCACTGATACTTAATTTCTGGGGAACACGAAAAGTAACATATATGAATACCGTGTAAATCCTTCATGCTTCGTACTCGGCGTAAAACACACAATCATGGCTGTCCCGTCCCAGATAAAATCTAATCGCTTGGAGAAAAATTTTTGACAAGTTCTCTAACAATGCACTAATTGACTGTACAATAGGCAACCTATTAATAACGACATCATATCTTTCGTATTAATTACGGAGAGAAGGGCCGCGCATGGATAATAGTAACGTCAATCATGGACATTTTTATCTAGGAATCGACCGCTTAGATCGCATATTCGAAGCATATGGATTGCAAAATAGATACCGTAAATATGTTCGAGCACCTTAGAGGTTTCGATCTGGATTTGGCAATTTGGAAAAAATCACACATACTTATCGTAAAATCAAATAGTAGTTACCCAATATGGAGATCATGAGCCCTAAGGAATGTCGCAATGACAAAATACTTTTTACATGACTTAATAATTATCATACTACTTACATACTTTAGGACTCCTTCTGCGACGGTTTTTGTTGAGTCGAACTTGCTAACGTTTCGCCAATCATCCTGGCTTCTTCAGAGCATGACTAAAACTTGCTGTTTGTTGAAGTTTTGAAAATAGTATTACAGTACCCTGTGGTAGTTTCTTTGAAGAAAAAAAGTAATTATGGCCAGAAATTACGGTGAAATTTGGTTTCATTTTTTTTTAATTCTCAAATCTTAATTCATAAGTTTACCCTTCTAGCAACAATTTATTCCTGAATTGTCATCGAAAATTATTCTGGTATTTTGTACCAGGTAAAGTTTTAAAAAGAGACAGGAACGTGTACGCACCTAGTATAAATTGTACAGCCTATCCTTAAATTTGACTTGCGTTAACGCTGAATCCTTATTCATAAATCTTGTTACAATTTTTATTCCTAATACTAAAATTACATGGAGTCTGCATAAATCTGTCACAGTCGACTTAAAGTTGCGAAGGCAAGCAAGGGTCCCAATATTTCTATTGTATAACAATCAGAATAGGTTCTCGAGAAAAATGATGAAGGCTCGTTAGTATACCTGTTACATTCGGATTGCCAATAAATTTGTGTAAAATTTCTTAAAACAAATTCTGAAATTCTGCTCTAGTTATGATATTTCGATGTCACATATATAAAGGATGGACCACACAAAATGGGGCATGAGCGGGGTGATAATATGAAAAACATTTGCAAGATGTGGTCAACAGATAACCTTATTTTAGACATTTTCTCACTACCCAGAATGATTTGTTGATGATTGTTTTTTTTTGCATTTATTCTCTTCTTCTTCTTATTATTTTAAGACTATGTCTTGTGTGTTCAAGGAAGCAGCCGAAGTAGTGACTCCGAGGTCCAGCTCTCATACCAGCGCTTTGGTGGTCTTCCGGGAGGTCTGCTTGTATTGGGTCTCTCTTCCTTTGCGATTTTCGCCAGTGGATCGGCTTCCATTCTATTGACATGATCTCTCCATGCTCTTCTTCTAGTTCTGACCCATCTCACTATATCCGGAACGTTATTCTATCTCTGCGTTTTCCCTGTGATTGAGCGTAATGTCTTCATCTCGGTCGTTCTAAGAATCTGTTGCTGCAGTCTCCGCCCTCGTTTCTATGGCGTATGTCATAACTGGTCTAACACAAGTTTTATATATCCGTGTTTTGCTTTCGATACTTAAGTATTTATTCCTCCATATCACGGTTCGAAAGAATCCCGATATCCTAGATGCTACTATTGTTTGCATTTTTACTTCTTGTTTCAGGTTCCTATTGCTCGTGATGTTAACCCCTAGATACTTAAAAGACATAACCTGCTCCACACTTTTATTATAAATTGCCAGTTTGCATCTTCTGGGTTCTCTCGCTATTGTCAAGGATTGTGTCTTCTGTGTCGATATGATCATATTGAATTTTCCTGCAGCTGTTTCGAATCTGTGTAGTAGTTTTTGCCGATTATCCTCATCTTCCGATATCACAACCGCATCATCAGCGTAGCAAATTATCTTAAACTCTTGTTTTCCCATTGTCTGATCCCTGTTGATACTGGTATTTTACTGGAGAGTTCGTTGTTTACCCTTACATACGTGCCATTTCCGCTGTTCATCTCCCGAATCATGTCTATTGTCCTTTGGTTTACGTCTCGTTCTTTCAGCAGCTCAATGACATCATGTAATCTCACTCTATTAAATGATTTTGTTAAATCGATGAAGCACATTCACGCGGTTTTATTGTACTCTATGGCCTTTTCGGCAATCTGTCTTAAAATGAATATAGCGTCTATGGTCGATCTATTTTGTCTAAATCCCTGCTATTCTTCGCTCATACCACTACTTGAGACTTCTTCTGTAATAATTTTGAAGTCGTGTTCAGGAGGCTGATCCCTTTATAATTATTTGGTTCTTTCTTTTCCCCTTTTTTGAAAATAGGGATCGTTATGCTTACTTTCCATTCCTCTGGTACTTTTCTCTGGTCGTATATCTTATTAAACAGGAGATGCATTTGGTCTATTAATTCATTGTCACCATATTTAAGAAGTCAGTTATTAATATTATCCAGCCCTGATGATTTCCTGTTTTTCAGCTCGCGTATTGTTTGTCTTTTGATATTAATTGTTGTTGGGTGTTTTCTCTTTCCCCAGATATATTTTCCTGTTCCTGTTCTGGAGCTTGGCTTGTTATTGTGTCACCGTAGAGTTCATGGAAATAACTTTCCCATTCTTTTAACGTTATTGTTTGCGTGTGAATGTATTCATTGATTGGCCTTTTAATGTTCCTTATCATATTCCATATCTTTTTTTGTCCTCCATATAAGTCGTGGTCCATGTTTGATGAGTATTTCTCCCAGAATTGTCTCTTTATAATTTGGATTTTCATGTTTGTCCTATTCCTCACGACTTTATAATCAGCATATGTGATTGTTTGACTTCTAAATTGAAGATATGCTTTCCTTTTTTCTTCTGCAAGTGATTTGATTTCGTGTGTGGACCTTGGTTTCGTGTTGGGCTTTCCGTTTTGGTCCACCTTTCGCTTGGCTAATGCCTCTTCTGCAGCTGTCATTATATTAGTGCTTAATCTTTTCCATACTAGCTCTACGGTGTCATCTTTCAAGAGAGAGAGGTATTTTGTGGTGTCATCGCTAAGGCTTTCTATGTTCAGTTTTTCTATCACTCTCGGTTTGTCCTGGCTTTTCCTTTGTACGCAGTTCCGCATTATGGCTAGCACCATGTGGTGGTTGGTCCCTGTGTTTGCTGATAGTGATACTGATATTGAAAAACAGTGAAGTGCCCTGAGCGTTATAAATAGGACAGTGGGAGTAGGGACTCATTTAAAATTAAATAACTTTTATATGATACAATATAAACTTTTAAAAATCAAAAACTTCCTCATCTAAATAAAAAATAACATTGTTTAACAACTTTAACTGGTATGTGTTTTTGTCCTTGGAAACACAATAATTGAGACTACAATTAACAGTCCAGTTTAGAAAATGAGAAAAAAAAGATTCAATTATTATCATTAATTGTGAGATGGTTTGCTTTGATTTTGTTTTTGACCAAAAAGCCTTTCTAAACTTATCATCGCATAAGCACTATCACTAGTCAAAACACAGTTCACTTTTTCACTTAAATTTCCAAGAAAAATGTTGACAAACGAAGCACTAAATGTATCAATTACGCCATTTCCTTCAAAGAAAACGCACAGTTCGCAAAAGTACCGCATTCCCACCGCTGGTTATCGTTCTTATCTTTTGATAACAATCGGTTCGGTTATAATCTTTCAGATGGATCCACTTTAAAGAACATCGCATGTAACGCATTGAGAGGATCTGAAATAACGCTCTATGGAGAGGTCACGCCGGTGACCGAGAAAGGCAACAAAATGCAACCCCGAACCAAAGTTAAGACGAATGGACACTTCACCAATTTTATGCAGGTTAGTCAGTGTACAACACCGTGTCATGTTTGTAAATATTACGCAATTAATCTTTGTACACTAACCACTTAGTCAAATAGACTCAAACTATAACAACAAATTCAGTTATGAAAAAGTGAATATGCGAACAACGCTCTGCTGTAATGGTTATTTATGTTGGTCGTAGACTGAAATAAAATAACGATAATCTTCTAAAGTTCCCGGGATTGTAAAATAAATTATCGCCATTACAATTAAGCATCGGTTATGGATATAAGAATTTTCCGCTGAATATATGGAAATAGATACACACACGTATAATTTACGTCTTGTAATTGATACCCTACGGACCATACCTAATTAAACAAACATACTTATGTGTAATTCGCGGTTTTTTGATCCTCGTTCAGAGGCGTAGTTACAGTAGACGCACTATTTTTCGCAGGGGAGACAAGAGCAACCTGCATCCCAAGCGGAAGTGGGCCATCCTGAAAAACTTCCGAAGACGCGTCCTTCGAATGCCAGAGCTCGCATCGAGCAAAATGCCATGACCCAAAGCTGCCCCACACCTCCCCAGACCAGAAGAAAATTCTTCCTCAGCCCTCGAGCTATTAGAAACCCGTTCGTAGGGCGGAATTGGAGGCAGCAAGGAGATGCGGCCCTGTCAGGTACTTAGTATTTACGTATTTATAGTTTCGACGTAAGAATTGAAGAGCTGACGTAAAAAACAAGTAATTTTCTTTAGCTTCGATGACGTCTTCGACAACGTCCACCGAGGGACGCCACTGGCCGAGCGTCGTATTAGGAAAAATTCGTTCGTTGTGGACCGCGGGCCAGAACAGCGCCAGTTCTGGCCTTAATCAGCTAGTAGCAGGCACGATAGTTTTCACTTGTCGATTTCTGTTGTGTTTTTATTTTGAGTTTGCATCCTCTTTCAATATTCCATGACGGCAGTTCACATCCAATCACTTTAATTCAGTTAAATGCTATAGTTTTACGCATGCCTTGCACTTATAATACTTTTACGTGCGCACTTCGTTTGTAGTTGCGAATGTTTTTAGACTCTGTAAACAACTATACAACTCTTAAAATCGACATTTATTTATTGCAGATGACGAAGCTCAAATGAAATCATCGCCAGCTAAAAAGTCTTCGGAACATGATATGTACATGCGACTGGGTCTGTTGCTGGGCGACGGTGCCAGAAGAACCAAACCCAATCCAGTATGCAGCCACGATTCTTGCGCCTCACTCACCAACTACGAAACCAGCACCATGATGTCGACGAATACCAGCCCCGTATCTACGCTAACTGGCAGTTCGGAAGATCCCCATAGGACTAATCCTAGTTCCGATAGCGTAGCATCCCTCATGTCTATGTCAATGTCCGGTCAAAGCAATTGCAGCACGAGCCCCATCAGCAGAAGGCACAGTGTTACTAGTGAGTCTCTCAATAGTTTAGTTGATGTTAAATAAAAATTTGACCATTTTAGCCTCTCAGCCTGGCCAGGTGGAGGATCTCAACTTGTTCAGAGACAGGCGGACGTGCATTAGGAGATCAGCTAGAACCACACCGATCAAAGGGACAGTGGATCCAAAGATACGGTTCGCCCAGTACAGAAGCCCCCAACTCACTCTGAAACCGTTATTCTTTGAGGTTCCTCTACAAGAACCCGATCCTCTATTTCTGGGACGGCACTGGCTATTCAAAGAAATGGAAGATATAATAGGTAAGTTGAATCAATTAGTAACAGTTTAGATGTCGAAAATAAAGAATTTCTAGCTTCATCAAGTACAGGAATCCTCATCACCGGAAATCCTGGAACTGGAAAAACCGCCCTCGTTCTCCAAATTGTAGAATATAGTTGTTTTGGCAGGCGGAAGGAACCTGTTTACCAATCAGTTCACTCGCCAGAGCGCAGCTCCCAAACCGTCTACTACCAGATTGACCTCGTGTCTGAGAAAATAAAGCAGATTGCGAGCTCGGTTGTGGCCTACCACTTCTGTCAAGCCGATAACAACAACACTTGCCTGGTACCTGATTTCATACATTCTCTGGCCGCGCAACTCTGCCAGGCGCCTCAATTGACAGCTTATAGAGAGCTGTTATTGAACGAGCCTCACCTCCAAGCAGTTTTGTCGTTAAAAGAGTGCATAGTAAATCCGGATATGGCGTTTACGCGAGGCATTCTAGAACCCCTTGCCAGCTTAAGACGTATCGGCAAGATAGAGAATAGCAATTGTGCAATATTGGTCGACGGTTTGTGCGAAGCGGAATACCACAGGCCCGACCACGGTGACACCATTACAACATTCCTGGCAAAACACATGCCGAACTTCCCTACCTGGTTAAAAGTCATCGCGACAGTTCGGACCCAATTGCAAGAACTCACCAAGCAATTACCATACACGAGGATAAGTTTGGATAGTAACGCCAGCAACGAAAATATACAGAAAGATATCTTGAGCTACATTAGCTTTCGCCTGCAAAATAGCCCAAGTATCCAAAACAATATAACCTTATCCATCAACGGAAAGCAGGAAAGTGGGAGCGTCTCTCAACACAAATTCTCGCAACATCTTTTGAATTTGTCTGAAGGGTCATTTTTATTTGCCAAACTCACTTTAGATTTGCTCGAACGCGGGCAGTTGGTGGCAAAATCTTCAGGATATAAAGTACTTCCTGTAACGTTGTCGCAGATATATCTGCTACATTTCAACCTTCGATTTCCAACTATTCGTTCGTTCGAAAAAGTAACCCAGATCCTCAGCATATGCTTAGCTGCTTTATATCCCCTTACTCTATTGGAAATCTACTATTCCGTGAACGCGTTGTTTGTCAACAACTTTCTATCATGGAAAGACTTCCTTCAACGGTTCAAACTTCTTTCCGGATTCCTGGTAAAGAGGCTAGACAACACCTACATGTTTTTCCATCCGTCGTTTAGGGAATGGTTGATCCGCCGAGATGAAAACGAAGCCACGAAATTCTTGTGCGACCTTAGAGCAGGACACTCGGGAATCGCCTTCAGATTATCCAGAGTCCAGACGCCATTGGATGCAGAGAAAACACTCGAACTAGGCCATCACATACTTAAGGCTCACGTCTATCGAAACATGACCCTATCGAGCGTAAGCTCCAGGGATTTGCAGGCATATTGGGTCAACGAAAGTTCGGAAAACGTTTCAGCCGCGATTTGCCAATTACGAAATATCTACAGTCCGAATGTCAAAGTGTCGCGGCTTCTTTTGTTAGCCGGTGCGTCAGCTGATTATATTACAGATTACCTTGGCAAAGCGCCCGTACTATGTTTGTACGCAAACGAGGGCAACGTTCCGATGGTATCGCTTCTTTTGGAGTTTGGGGCGGATGTAGAGCTGACAAACAATCAAGGATGCACGGCGCTATCTCTGGCATCTGCCAAAGGTCATTGTGACGTAGTAAGGCAACTGATTGCTGCTGGCGCCAGTCCGGGTCACGCTGACGCCGTCGGGTACTGCCCCTTAGTCCACGCAGCTCGAAACGGTTGTTTGAACGTGGTGGGGTATCTACTGGCTTGTGATTGGATCTTGAAAAATCCAGAAGACGTCGAACTTGCAGAAGCGGCCCAACAAGCTCTAATCGCGGCTGCCGGTCAAGGCCATGCTGAGATTGTCGAATATTTACTGGATATGGCCGAAGTTAACGCAGACGTTGCGGACACAATAAGTGGAGAGACTGCGCTCACGGTTGCCGCTGCAAATGGCTGTCACGCGGTATGCTCCGCTTTAATTAGCAGAGGTGCCAGTATTTCGGTAACCAATAAGAAGGATCTCGCCCCCCTTTTAATAGCAGTCAAAGAGGGACACTGGGCTGTAGCCGAAAGATTAATACAAAATCATGCGGCTGTAGAGCAGGTAGACAATGTGGGAAGGACTCCCTTAATGCTTGCAGCCTCCGAAGGTCATATCGGCGTTATAGATCTTCTCCTCGATAAAGGTGAGCTTGTTAATAACAATATACTTACTAAAGACTAATTGTTTCTATTCATAGGCTCAGATATTAACAGAGAAGACAAGGAAGGAATGACGGCGCTGTGTTGGGCCTGCCTTAGAGGCAAAATCCAGGCAGCTCAAAGTTTGATCGAGAGAGGCGCAAATATCAACCACACCGACAAAACTGGTCGGACTCCTTTGGATTTGGCTGCGTTCCAGGGAAATCCTACCTTGGTGCAGTTTCTGCTCGACAGAGGAGCCGTAATTGAACATGTCGACGTAAACGGAATGAGGCCGCTCGACAGAGCCATAGGCTGCAGGAATATACAGGTGGTTCAATGTTTCCTCAAGAAGGGCGCCAAATTGGGACCAGCAACGTGGGCCATGGCAGCGGGCAAACCAGAAATAATGTAAATATTGCGCGATAGAAATGGGAACGGTTCTGAAGGTATTGTAATTATTTAGGCTCATTCTTCTCAATAAGCTTCTGGAAGACGGCAACATCTTGTACAGAAAGAGCAGATTGAGAGAAGCGGCTCACAGATATCAGTACGCGCTGAAAAAATTTCCCAACGACGACCAAGACGAACATAACCAAGCATTCCACCAGCTCCAAATCAATTTCCTGCTAAACTATTCGAGATGCAAGAGGAAACTCAATGTACCATTTGTGCCTTTAACTGTTTTACGTATTACTGACGGTGAAGTTTTAGGAACCCGAAGAGGCGATCGAATTGGCAATGGACGCACTGGAGATGAAACCCGACTCTTACGAAGCGTTTTACGCCCTAGCGAAAGCCAAGTTTGACTTGAGACATTACGACGAAGCACTTCATGACATCGTCGAGGCTCAAAAACTGGCTCCTGTCCAAAACGCGGAAGTCAAGAAGGTGTTGGCGTATTTACAAGAGGAGATTGGGAATAAGATGACGCCAATGGCACGGATATCGGGCCACCGGAATTTCACCGCCTCCGTCGACACGTTACACGAATGATTTCGGAAAAGACTGAACGAAAAGCGTTGTGAATACTAGAGAAATAAGCGAATTTTGTAAATATGTAAGTTTTTTAATTTATTTTCTGGGTTCTCATCATTCCCTATAGCTTTCGTAGCGAACAAGCTTTCGTTTTAATGTGACTAAGCGTAAAATGCACTTATATAGGTTACAATATAGGTTTTACAATAATCGCTTGATATTTGTTCAACATATAGTAGGGTGTTAATGTTTTTTATATTAAATTTCGATGGTTATATATCGTTTTAAAGTCGAAAACGAATATATGAATTGAGGTGTTCCTAGCTTTTGTATTCTCTATAATCGATTTTATATTTTTCAAACGATGACATAAATATAGCCGCAGCAACAATGCAACATTTTGTAGATTTATTGTTTTATTTGTGATTTGTTATTTATATTTTACCTATTATCGGAAAAAATCATATATCGCATTGAAAAGCTAATAATCTATTGTATAAATTTTATTTCGTGTATTTAATTTATTGAAAAACATTTAGAAAATTATTCATTTCTTGCCAAGCATTTTTTTTGTTGCAGTATTTTTTTAATTTATTATCGACAGTTTGACTGTTTTGGTGGTGAAATTTATGTTTAAGAATGAATTTGTAATTTTGAAAACCGAAAATGTTATCGGAAATTTTGAACAAAGAGAGAAAAATAAAGGATTATGCGTCATTTTTCGTTTCACTGAACCTTTCATAAAACCATTTGGTATCGAGAGTACCGCAAATAAGTAATACTGTAAATATACATATTTTATGAGAAAAATAAATTTTATTTCCTGTATTTAATTTATTGAAAAACATTTAGAAAATTATTCATTTCTTGCCAAGCATTTTTTTGTTGCAGTATTTTTTTAATTTATTATCGACAGTTTGACTGTTTTGGTGGTGAAATTTATGGTTAAGAATGAATTTGTAATTTTGAAAACCGAAAATGTTATCAGAAATTTTGAACAAAGAGAGAAAAATAAAGGATTATGCGTCATTTTTCGTTTCACTGAACCTTTCATAAAACCATTTGGTATCGAGAGTACCGCAAATAAGGAATACTGTAAATTTATATTTTTTATAAGAAAAATAATATATTATACTATATATTATTAAGAACTTTAGTTTTTTTTTCCCGTAACTTATTTCAAGGGTAGGCAGGAAAAAAATCTTAAAAGGAAGGTCTGAATGTCACAATTATTTGAAATAAAATTGAAAAAATTATCCATCACACGATATCAATCCGGTAAGATAAAATTAGCGACCCTATATCTATTTTCACGTCATCCATGTACGTCTCCCTCGTTCTAATTTGGGACAGGGATTATATTTATTGACTACCTATTCATAATAACATCTGTTCCAGTTCGGTAGTTCATTAATAAAAGTAACACGCAAGTATCCTGGGTGACAATTCAACCGGCTAGCCACTTTAATTATTAGATATTTATTTTTATGTATTTAACCAAAAGGTTTTTAAGAATACACATTACGTATTCAAATACACAAACATACAATTCATGAGAGAAAAGGTATTGTAAGCATTGGCAAGTATTCAAAAGATATTAGCAAAATACCTAACAACTAGCAACCACCATAATGAAAGTGGTTTGGTTATTTCACTTACAAAAGGTTGTACGTTTAGTAGATATAAACGTCAAACGTCTGCTGAAAATATCAAATGTATACTCAAAATAAAAGCAGTGCTGACAATTAGATGTATAATTACTAACAATTTTAAAACGGGAATTTCCCTAATCCAGCTTCTTATTAAATAATTTCAAACTTCAAGCGATTAGTCATGTCGCTTTCTAAGAGTATATTAACAACAATATATATATATATATATATATATATATATATATATATATATATATATATATATATATATATATATATATATATATATATATATATATATATGATTGGGAATGGACATGGGAATATATGAAACTCAATATTTGTCCAACTTATGTCTTCTTATTGTGATACCTGAGCTAATAAATACAAAAGTTTTGACGAAAAATCCTAAGAAGAGAATTCCATTGACAATAGAATAACTTCCTCAGATAATTTCATAATATATTATTCGAAACTCTTTGATCAATCAATCGAACAAAGTTCGTGCTGATGCGTTAAGTGTTGCTCTTTCTCACCCATTTATTTTCCTACAGTATCCTGTAATTTAACATAGAAGGATTTGGGGAAGCCGGCCAATCTCCTCCATGAACTGTTTACGGGCAAGATTACAAGTTCATCACATCCCTAGCTTTTGCTTTTGCAGAAGTTTTGTTGGGTTTCGGTAGTTTCCAAGGTTAAGAAGAACCTAACCAATCAATCACTCAAGGATCAGTCAAGGACTCAGAAGACGTAGGCTCAATTTTGCAACTCCATGTGATTCTGCCTTATCCTCCTTTAAGTCAGCGAGGTACAATTTGTGGAAAACTCTTTTGCCTATACGGAAATGGCAAAACTGGAAGAAGCTTTAGTAGTGGTCTCTAGTAGATCAACGGACCTTCGTTTCCGAGCACATCGGTTCATGTATTCGCAATTAAATCGTAGACGAGCCCTGTATTATCGAAAACGACGAAAAAAACGCAGTTTTAACTGAAATTCGGCGCGATTATAATTAATTAGCGAGCCGGTTCCGATTGCACCTAATCCAATCCAAAAGTAAATATAAACGGCGGACTTACCGTTACTGCTCTGGTCCCGGAATCAAGAAGAAGACAGGCGGATATTGCGCAACGCACTCCTGACAAAGAACAACTGAAAACCAAGCGGGAGGGGGAGGCAATACCTGTAGAGTTCAGCAGACGGCGCGAATACTGTTTTAAAGCGCGAACGTCAGGTGTGCAGAGTGGTCGACTCGCGTTGCCTCTCGCTCCCCAAACGCTCTCGCACATTTCCGTCGAATCTGCATGTTTGTTGTTTGGGATACAAAGACCGCGAGACCTGGGGTGGTTAAAAATAGTCGCGGCTCCCCTTAACAGACGGACGTTAAGTTTCCTGTCGTAAAAATTCGGTGCGTGTGGGACTTTTTCGGACGGTGAAGTGAATGTGTACAGATCGAAAACGACAGGGAAAGTAATTAAAGACTTGTTTATATGTGCCGTTAGACGCAGAGACAATAGGTTCAAGGGGGTACCGTTACGGAATTATGTGGAGAAGTTGAGGAAAAACGTGAAGCAGCGTTTGCCGAAGGGTATCGGCTTTGTATCAGAGTCATGCACCACGAAAGGTTAGTTGCTTTGTGTTGGTGTTCCTCGTTTCGTTCCGGCAACTCTATAAGCGATTACTTTACCTGATAATTGATTGAAATTGTAAGGCAGGTCCGCAACTCAGTCTGACATCCATTGAACTGGACCCCGTGCGATCGCAATTAGAACGATCATCGAGTTGACGTCATTTCATGTCTTTTTTCAAAGGATGGATATTTAATAAACTCAAAGCGTGGAATGTAGAGAAAGATAAATAAAATCAGTTCATTTTTAGTTAAAAAAATATATTTTTTTTTCTTGTTGGCGGAGAATTGATATTTTACATGGGAATTGAAACTCTAACACTGTGCGAGCCACCTGTGTTCCCAGTACCAACTCCTATACCTGACGAACCAGCGTTTCTTTTAAAACATAACATATGGCTTGTAAAAAAGTTTGGATCTTTTACGGCTTCCTAAAAAACAATTAGGATATATTCATCCTCGGACACATCCTGTTCAATAAATAATGATGACAGATTGCCTTTAAAAGGCAATCAGTCAACACTACTGCCGAAATTTCGCTGTTGACTGATGCAAAGGAAAAAAGTTATATAACATTTGAAATTTGTGTTATAATAGCTCTAAGATATTTTGCTTTTTTAATTAAATATGTCGCAAATAAATTAAATAGATTAGATAGATAGAAATAAATTAAATTAAATTGCAAATAACGTCGTTGGTGCAAAATTTTCGAAACCTATATCCCATACCTATGTCAACAATCCTATTGAATTCTCAACAGCTCAGAATAGTGTTAAGACTGGCAAAAAATAAGCACGGCGGGTTTATATGCAAACACATGAGAGGGAATAACTTCAAAATTAAGAATTGTGGCAAGAAGCAGGAAAAAGTTTTCTTTTTTTGTTTTAATTGTTAACAAATCTTCCAGCTATTAAAGAGCAGGAATACCTAGATATTATATCAAAGTAAAATCTTTATTCCACATAACGAGCTATTCAAGAGTGGGGATACCTATACGACATTTTAGGAACTATATCCTGCCACCAATGTTATCCATCAGAAGCCTGTGAAATAACGACAAAATTTAATTCTGCAATTTAACTTTTAGCCAGTGTGTTTGAGTCGACACAAAGGGGTTCAATTCGTATCGTATCAAAAATTGAACTATTAATGAATGTCTGCTGGATAGTTGGTAACCTACCGACACACACCTGCAAGATGTTAATCGCAGTACAAGTGTTACTCCCGCTTATACTTTTTTATACTTTTCTTTCCTTATTGGTGTTCCTTTAGTTACACAACACTTTCGACCAAATATAATATCACCGTGGAGTCTGAAACTTCCAAAATAACACAATTATTGAGAGGAGTCGATGATAAGTCAACAAGTACTTTCCTAGAATGATTTTTTTTTTAATCCAGGAAACTTCGGTTTATTTCTATTTATGTTTCTATATTAATTCTATTTATGCTTGTATAGTCTGTTCATAGATATAAGAAAGTGACTAACTGATATGAATTAAGGAAAGACCCGGGCAAGCTGTAAGAATTAAATATGACCGAACAGGTCCGTACTTTGCTTAGAATTTAATTATTTGGGGTTTTGTTAGGAAAGACACTAAACAATATTTATTTATTAATGTATGTATACTTAAATTACTTAAAATTATTCACATAATACATAAACATGTTCAATGGAATTAAATATACAGTGGTAAGGTGGAAACCTTAAAACTGTATGCCCTAGATTTTTTGCATAATTATCATCGCAGACGTATTCCTTTTGTAGGTTCAAGTTTTGTAGAACCTCAATTAATTGCTTTTTGGCATAATCTTTGTGAAAATAAATGTCGTTATTATACATTTAGTTTTGGATTTTTGCTTTTGTGTCACATGAGGGAGGGGTTTTAGTTAACTGTCTACTGTGATAACTTGCATTGTCCATTACAATTACGCTATTAGGAGGAATGTTTGGAACTAGTTTGTTTTTAAACCAACTTTCAAATAAATCAGCGGTGGTGGCTTCATGGTCATCCAGAGAAGAATCTTTAATATTTTTCGCAGACAGAGAAAGTCCATTTGGAATCCAACCATCTTTAGAGTCAGCATGCAAAATAGTTATTCTTTTACCTCTTTTTAATGGTGCCTTTGTTTTACACTTATCAGTTGAGTCAACCCAACCCTTTTCCGGCGTATCATAAGTGTCGAACCAGGTTTCATCCAAGTAAATAATTGGCCTTTGTTGTTCTCTGTAAATCCTTTTTTTTTCTAGATATTCTAGTCGCCATTTCCGAATTGTAAAAGATTCCATTAAAACTTTTGTCAATTTTTTTAAATCTAAAACCCATGTGTTGAATACATTTCCATAAGGTAGTTCTGCCACATTTAACACCTGTTTCATCTTTTTCAAGCCTCATACTTAAGATATCTAATGTAGGCACACTTTGTTCCTCGTATAACTGGTAAATTTTACGCCGTATTATATCTTGATCACTTTCATCTACATTCGAGAAAATGTCAGCATCGCTTCTTTTTTTCCTCGCTGAAATGGGATTTATTCACAGTTTTCCATATAGTTAATGTTGGAATTTTTGTCAATGTGGCCGTTTCTTCTAAAGATGCTTGCTTTCTGGCACCTCGTTCAATGAGTCAAATAAACATTGTTTATAACTTCCGTAGTCTCAATACAATAGTGTTTTCTACATTTGGGCGCGCGCATCTCCTGAGATACACTAGACTCGCACATATTTTGCATAATTCGCACACGATTCAACACACGCTGTATTACACACGAAATAAGAATGATTACTAATAAACTTAAACTAAGTAGTATACCAAAGTAAATAATATTAAAGACAGGTAGGTATAAAATTATTTTCTATTACGGACCACAATTTTACCTGACTTTAAATTCCGAAACTTTAGGTAATAATCTTGTTGCATTGTATGTTAATGACCACCCTTGGATAATCCCATTCAAAAGCAATTGGTCACTTTGTTATATCTATAAACAAACCATACCTATATTTGAGATGGTCTCCTTTATCTCACCATATTCCATTTCATGAACCAGTTAATATAATCCTTCTGTGATTTTCCTTTGTGGTTTACAGGTTTAGATGTCGATAGGTGTAGCACAAAACGTGGCAAAATAAATCCCTGAAAAGATTAACGATCTTGGCAGGGTATAATAAATTATTTGGTAGGATAACTTTATTGTCCCCGTTTAATTCGCTCCGGCTTGTCACCCGGAGAAGCTTCAATTTAGTCAGCAATTAATTCCGCAAGTTTTTGCCAATCAAAGTTTGAGCGAGCCGAGACTCACGCTCGCACGAAACCCATTCGCGACAGCCACAGTGGACGTTCTGATATTACACGCTAGAAAACTCGCGCGTAATTGATGTTATGTTTAACAATTTTTATTTGGGTAATTTAGGGCAATTATTGTAATTAAGACGGTGAAAAGTTTATGTAAAGAAAGTAACGAAAACCTAGATTTACGAATATGGTTTTCATATGCCAAGGTTGGTCAGAGCGTCCCAAACTTAAAAGAAAATAATTTTGCGTAAAAAAGATAATTAATTAATAACCACATCGCGTATATATGGCGCAGATATGGTGCGGTGTGGTCGAAATTTTCTAGGAATTTAATTCGCCTAAGCCGTTTACGACAGTTCGGGTTCAAGAAAGTAAATATCAAAGAGGACGATGCAAATGAAATATGAAATCTGGGGCACCGCACGTATAGCAAATGGTCTGAAAACGAGTTAACTGTACCTAGTGATATTTATTGCTATACACTTTAATGTGCTCAAAGAAAATGAGTTTTAATGGAACCAAATCACACATGGCCGACGTATGAATTTTTCGCACGGCAATTGGCATTGCGTAATCCGGCAACAGAAATCGGGTGATCAGTTTTGCTTAGATACCCGTAACTCAAGAGTGAATACTCAAGTAATTTGGGAAAAATCACCAAAAGTATTGCTGGTTTTCATATGGATAGAAGATTAAAGCTAACCTGGGCTCAGCCGTGATATCAAAAATAGTATATCGACGAAATCCAATTTCATTTTATTATTATTATTATTAATATCCGTATTTTGCATTTTGTTCAAATTTTGCTTAATTTACCTATCAGATTGCTAAATATTAGCATATAATGCAGCATGTTTGAATTGTTACGTCTTTTGAATAGGTGTAAGAAATCGTTCAGTAGGGAGGCTCTTTGTAATTATTATTTCGCAACTAATATGGCAGAGTTGACCGATTGGTTAAGCATAAGAGATGCGCGCCTATTCAATACTTTGCAGATAGGAGAAATTTACATTGCCTAATTCAGGAATTAACTAGAACAAGATCATTCAAAAACGAACATTTAGAGTAGTGTAATACAGCGGATTAGCAATTCGGAAGGTTTGGACCAAAATGAAAAACTTTTCCATGTGAACTATTACAATAAAATAGCGCTCAATACATTCATAAGTGGATGCAGCGGCATGCTTAGAAACAATACTTTTGAAAGCCTCCTTCCGCTTATTCATCGAAATCTGCCTTAGTAAAACAGTAAACAGATATACCTATCATGCTTCGTTTTGTAGATTTTGTAGTCAAAATTACTGATATGATTGCGAATATGTGGGGTACGCACCAAGAATCCACTGCGAAGGAACTTTTTTTCAAGTATATAAAACATAACTCTTTTGCCTCAAAATTCTTCACACATTTGGTTAATCAATAGTCACTAAAAAAATTCTCTTCTGCGGAATATCTTATGTTGTTTCTTAAGAATTCGAAAGATTGATTCATATTGATAGTTTCTGCCCCAACGGATCTATTGTATCTCCTTCCATAGTGGCTTTATTTGAGTTCGTCACAAATTTGATAGTGGGCTCTTGATGTAGGTCGTTGCCTCTGTTTGGGTTGCAGCCAGCAGACGAAGCCTTTCCATTGGTGTTCCTTCTTGGTAGAATCTGCAATCTGGGTTCTATTTCACCCGAGTAGGCCTCTTGAGGACC